ATCTGAGAATGAACTGAACTAACGCGCATATAAGTAACTTGACTGTGTGGCCAATATATGATTTTTGAAGCTCTTTCAATATTGCAGTTCTTACAATAATTTAAATCCAGCAGTATTTTAAGTAACAGAAGGAATCTCACAACACTAAGTGTGAAACAGTCTTAGCTCTAAGTGCTGCTATTTGAACTATAATTAAGACACCAATTTCTTGTGGTGTCATAAAGGTGTTCTTTTCTCTTGCATTTGCACTAGCTACCAAATCACTTCTGAGTACAAATTAGAGGCTTTTTCCCCCAGTACCTTACACTTTGCACAGTCACTTAAACATGCATAAAGAGAGCACTAATGGGTGTAATTCCCCATTCACTTTGCACAGGTATAAATGACTCTTCAACCAGGGAGCAATGAAGGATCACACCCAGTGAGCTGATTAAATCACTTAAGCACAGCGTACATTCCCCCTGGCTGTGCTTCCTGGCACGACTAATGCCTTCTATTGAACCTTTGGGACCTAGGCCAGCACATATGCACAGATGGTGCCTCAAATCAGGAATTCACTTCCCCTGCTGCAGAACAGAATCCTGGTATTCACATCACTGTCACACAAGCGTAGGGTAGGAGGAGGACCACAGTTTCCAAAGTTCATACAGACTGGTATGAGGCTGTGTAAATTAGGATGGAACAGGACTGTCAGAAATAAAACCTTCTGCAAGGGTTTGCTAAGGTCACAAGCACTGAATACTGATGCATTAATCTAATTTTCAAATTATCTCCTACTCTGGAAACAACTTAAGGTTCATGTACTTCCTCTGTGTGCCCCAAGAGAAATATTCAATTTCCCATTCGTGTGGCAGCATGAAGATGCTGTGTCTCGAGTCAGAACACTGCTCTGCATCTCTTGATCTTCCAAACATGATTGGGAAAAAAAATGCACTTAGTAGAAAATACGATATGAGCATTTATACATGAGGATAAATATGACCTGGATATAATTTTCCTGAGGAAGTGCATTCTGGTTTAAATACATATCATTAAATATATATCATTGTCCTTCCCATGAAGAAACTGGTTAACTTGCTAGTGTATCCTCAGATGAAGACTATGTCTGTCTATATGCAGATACAAACACAGATCACTACAAAGGAATAGGAGAAATGTGTACATTCAGAGAAAGAGAGGAAGGGTGTAAATCTATGAAGGATGAGTTATAATGCTCCTCAGTGTAATAAGATTATTTTTTCCAGGGAAATTTTGTATTTCTTAGAAGTTAAAAATTATGGAGGTGTTATTTTCTAGACACATGTAATAGAAATATACCTAAGAATGGACATGAGGAATGTAAGGTCTCTGGTGAACAGCTAAGCAATCCAAAATCTTCTAATTATGATGCCAAACGTTGAGGGCTTAAGTGTGTTGGCTTACAAAGAGATTGTCAGATTGCACTCTCATTCATTTCTAGAAAACTCCAAAAGTGTATTAGTGCCCTAAAACAGCAATCTGGCAGTCTGAGAAGCTTTCTTGCTGCAGAAGACAATATTGGACAAACAAGACACAGAGCTCAGAGAGAGAGGATGAACTAAAAATGAAAAGACTATAAATTTGCCAAGTGAGGACTAATAAATGACATTGTGCTGAGGATCAAGTCTAGCCATATTTTACTAAACTAATGTCTTAGTTTGACAGCTTCATGCAGGCATCACACCAGGAGTGAAAAATCACCTGAGGCACAGAGATAATCTGAAAATAACTGAGTATTTAAGCTGGTCTCAGCTAAAGAGCTGAGAAGTGCATGAATAGAGCCAGAAAATAAACCAAATCTGGATGAAAACAGGGCTGGGGCAAGATGCCATCAAGAAAGGTGTGATTAAAGCAAAGCACTGTCAAATCCATGTTCCACAGGGGACTTAATGCATTTGACGTTTTGGATGTATGTGTTGTGACAACTGAGACTGAGTCCTAAACCTCACATCTCAGGTCTTGCATTGTTTTGTATGTTCAGAGTTCTTTTTTTATTTAAAATCTCAGAAGACCTGCTGTTTTATCGTTCCAACATCACTTAAGTAAACTTGGCAATCCCAGCAAGATACTTCTCTGGAGCATTGCACCACTTAGTCCTCTTTTCCTTATCTCATTATTGTCACAGTTTTCCCTGGTTGGCAATTGAGTACATGTGGCTTTTCACCCACTTCCCACCTACCACCCCTCTCCAGTGGGGAGGAGAATCAGAAACAAAATGTAAACCTCATGGGCTGAGACAGGAACAACTTAATAGTAACATTTGGTTTTAATTATTATTAGAAATATGTAAATAACACTAGTTATAATTGCAACAATAAGGGAGGAAGTGACAGAACCCAAGGCAGCTGGTCACTACCAGAGACTGATATGCCCAGCCCACTCTCCCAGCTCATGTATTGGGCAAGACATCCCAGGGTGTGGAATATCCCTTTGGCCAGTTTGGGTTATGTTTTAAAAGGTCTTATGGATTATGCTATGAACAGTAACAAAAACATTTAAAATAATGCCTAGAATATTGTAAAAACATAACTGTAATAGTTTACTGTATAAAGAGCATTCCTTGGGTTAAGGGAAAAAACAGACAAGTCTCCAGTGACACCAGGGGATCACCACTAAAACCAAACAACAGACCAGAAGTATTTGGAAATAGTCTATAAATTAGAATGACTAAGGATGTTCTCTCTCTACACACACAGATGCTTTTTATTCTTATGTTATCCACAGCACCCTGGGCTGGGTTTGCACACACAGCTGTTGAACAAGGACAGTGTGCGAGGGAGGGCTTGCACTGTGCCTTGGTCCATCTCTATTTAGCTCTTCTCAGCACAGATACTGAGTTTTGGATTTAACTCTAACACCTATAGGAAAGTTGTGGCTTGTATACTGAAGTCTGATATTTTCTGTTCCTTTGAGTACAAGGTAGAAGGGCTACAGCTACCAAACAGCTGGGCCATAAGACCTGTGCAAGAATAGACACAAAATAAGGAGCACATGGGTTACTGGCATCTGGTACCTCACTCCTCTACTCCAAAAGATCCATAGCGGTTGGAACCTCATACAAAGAATCAAGAACAATCAAGCAATAAAACATCTAATTCCTAAACTTCAATTCTGGGTCTTTTGTACCTTTTTCTGTTCTAATCTCTATTTGGGTTTATATTTAATCTCTTACTTCTGGAAATTCTTTGTCCCATTAAATTGATATAATAATATTGAGCACAAAATCCTTCTCTTTAAAAATGTTGGCATGGAAGTAAAACAGCTACTGCTTAAAGTGACTCTGCCATATCATAGCAGAATAAAATTGAAATAGCAATGCTATTAATAGCATATATGAAGGTGAATGAATAAAGGGATAATTCCAAAAACTGGAAAAAAAAAAAAATAACTCCTTCGGAAGTTAACATATGATCCAGAAAGATGAAGAATGAGTCATACTGTAATTTTATGGCTTCAGCTTTGCAGTGCTGCTGATGAGTGCTGGTTTTTGATAGGTTGGCTGGAATTCTTTGGTATATGAAGGACATGCACATACAATGCATAGTTATCTGTGACCTAAGGAAATCATCAGACTGTTATTATTACACTTGTTTGCTGATATTTAGATGTACCACCTTTAAAACTGTATATATAAAATATATACAAATATACTGTATATATTTGTATATATGTAATTATTACACTTGTTTGCTCATATTCAGATGTACCACCTTAAAAACTGTATATATAAAATTTGGGGGCTTTATGTTTTGTTTTAATTATAACATAATATCATTGAATTAAAGCCAGTCAATCCCAGGAATATGAAAATTCAAATTTAAAAAAAAATAACAAAGAAGTACCAGTTGAAAAATATTTCTGAAGTTTCTTCTGTGGTTAGGTTCAAAGGGATTATTCTGGGAGAAATTTAAATTCCAGAAAAGAAGGAACTCAATGCTAACTAAAGGTACTAACCTAAGCAGAACTTGCATTAGACACTCTTTGATAATACTGGAAAACTGGCTCACTCTGTTTTTGCAAACCATATCCTGCTTCCATTAGAGACTTCTCTGGGTGCATTTCACTGAATTGCAATAAAGCCTTTGTACCCTGGGGTTCTGTAGTTCCTTTGCAATCAAGACTTTTCCCAGGTGTGCTGAAATCTGAAGTAAAGATAAGAATTGGGTTTTTTTTAGTTTAGGACAAAAGCACAATTAAAACCAACAATGACAACAACAATATCTAACAAAACCAGAAAAACCCACAAAAACTACAAACCAACCAAAAAACACCAAGAAACCCATTTAAAACAACAAAAACCAAGCCACATCAAAAACCTCAAGCTTGGCTGTGTTCCTGAGCCCAGATGGAATTTACTTAACAATTTGAGAGGGGAAGAGAATGAGGAAAGACAATCACAAACTACTGAATAACAAAGATATGTTATATACACCTGAGTAACTTCTAGCCTAGCTTTTGGGGTCACTTAGGAAATGTTGGTTCAAATTATTTTAAAGGAGAAAATACAACAGAAGATCAGCAGGAAAATAAAAAAAAATCAATTAGTGACAGAGCATAGCCCTGAAGAATAGTTAAGAACATGAAGAATTTAGGAAGTATATCTGAAAGCCTGCAACACTTGTGAGTGGAGCTGGGAGCACAGTAATGGGGCCACTGGACTGGAGGAAGGTTGGACCCTCACCACACCCTGGGCTGCTGCAGGGGGATCTTACCAAGCAGGTGTGGTTATGAGGAATGACTTGGTTAGTCCTGAGTTAATCTGCACAGCTGCTACTTTTCCTAGTGTGGAAAACCACTGGTTCTGGAGCTAGAGCTGTGTTGAACATGCATGTGTGTATTTGCCATCAGCACATCTGGTGAATCAGGTTAATATTTATGCACACACGCCCTAGATGTGGAATAGGAAAGCCATAACTGCTACCTACAAATTTTATGTTGGCTTTTTAACATATTATTTTATTTGTTCTGCTTTTGTTTTACAGGAGACTATGTAGTCATGTCTGTCTTCTTTAACCTGAGCAGGAGAATGGGTTATTTCACCATTCAGACCTACATTCCCTGCACACTCATTGTTGTCTTGTCCTGGGTCTCTTTCTGGATTAATAAGGATGCAGTTCCAGCCAGAACATCATTGGGTGAGTTTATCTTCCCTGTTTCCTTCAAGCATTATCATGTTTAATTGACACCTCTGCAGATCACCAGTTGGTAAATATGAGAACAGACAATTTCACACAAACTCTCCTCATTTAAAGGAATACAGTAATTTCCAAAGAATAACAAAGACTGAACTATATTTGCACATCTTCTTTTCTACCATGCCAAATTCTGACTATTGCAGATTGTCAACAATAAAAGCTTTCACATTTTTTCTGATTACAGCAGAATTTTTATGGACATCAAGAGGTTGGGGCCGCACAACTGGATTAGAGGCAGGGTGCATTAGTTTTACTTGTTCTGCTTTCATATCACAGTGACTGGCAATACAAATTAAATAATTACTAAGAAGGAATCCACCTTTCTGGCTGTGTGTCCAAGTGCTAACAAGAGGAGAATGTAGCACCATGACTACTTTAGAAACCAAGAATCAAGTATAGACTTCAGGCTAAAAAAAAATCAACTGAATTTGGTGGTATCCAAAACCTTATACATGAAAATGTGACATGCAATTAATCAGAATTAGAAATTTCTACACATTTAGCAACTGCTCCACAAATAAACTAAGGGACCAAATTAATCTTGCTTGTGCAAAGCAGCTGAAACAGTAAGAAATAACAAAAACGTTCAGCTAGAAAAAGTTTAACACATTTTCTACTTCTACATTAAATCCACACAAGTAAGAATTATTTCAGTTCTTCCCTCTGCATTTTCATTTCTTCACAGAACCACAGCACAGAGCACTGGAGTGTAAAAGAGAGTACACAATTTTCATTTCAGACACCCTAGAAGGAACATAACAGAGGACCAGTGGCTTCCATAAAAAAAGCTTTAAGCATGTTATTGGTTTCTTCACATCCTCTTTGAAAGAGGTTATAAAATATGCTTTAAGGAAGTACAAAATTAATAAAGGCATTCAGCTATTATTTTAAATTTTACCTAGATACACAAAACAGACTTGTCACTCTGTTGAGAATTAATCTATTTGCACCAGTAAAAAAGAAAAACCAACAGTGCAATAAAAAATGTGGTAGATTTTAACTGTTCTGATGCATTTTTAACATTTTTCACATCACAGTACATGCAACAATGTTCTGAAAATGAAGGAATGGTGAGGCATGACACAGTATTTCTCCTTTGTAGATCTGTCTCTTGCTCTGTTTAAGCCTTTGAGCATATAAACCCTAAACTTCAATTTTCAATAAAAATAAAAACTCCCCAGAAGGAAACTACAAAACCAAAACCTTAAATTAAATTTCTTAGAATTCATCTAACCAAAGTACTCTACAGAGCAGCACTGGCAGTGACCATACAAAAATGTCAATTACCCGTGTTAATCCTCTGAGCTCCAACTGAACTGGCATTTCACTGCTACAATGTGCTACTGAATACCTTTGCTGTGTGTTTGAACTCCAGGCACACTTCAAAACCAATCTCAGAGAGATAACTGGCAAAATCAGTTTTCTACTTGAAGTAATGTTATTTCTGTTTTTTTTCTATTCATTTACCAGGAATTACAACTGTCCTGACAATGACCACCCTAAGTACAATTGCTCGTAAATCTCTTCCCAAGGTCTCCTACGTGACAGCCATGGATCTTTTTGTGTCAGTCTGCTTTATTTTTGTGTTCTCTGCACTGGTGGAATACGGAACATTGCATTACTTTGTCAGCAACAGAAAGCCAAGCAAGGATAAAGACAAAAAGAAGAAAAACCCAGTACGTATCTTTTTACCAGCAAGGCCTAAAAGTTAATTAATTTTTCTGTGAGAGCATTTAAATCTCTCTTTATAACTGTCCTTATTTTCCATACTTTTCTATTATCTATATTCCCATCTTTTGTAGCAATAGGAATGCAAACATTCACTTTGAGAATCAGAAGCTCATATATTACAGCTTTCTGGACGCCAGAAGAACTAATTTGTTAGGATAATGATCTTTTTAACCAAAGTGTTCTGCAAACCACAACTACCAAAGGCATGATTTATGGTATATATAGATCTCTTTATAGAAAATATCTGTTTCTCTGTATTAGTATTAGCAATATTCTATGCCATTAACTTATGTCCACATTATTGACGACTGCCTTGCTTATCAGGATTACAGTTAAACTTTGAATATTCAAACTTTGATGTGCTTTCTCCAACTTCCCCTTAGCACGTGTTTCCTTTCCATTGTTTCCTTGAATTCTTTTTTTGTATATTTCTTACATTATCTGCCTACTTCTTTGCCTTAGACAGGGATTTTGCAGTAGTTTATAATGATACTTATGGATATATGCTACCCAATAGTAAAATTAATGTATAAAATAACAGCAGTAAAAAATTCCTGGGAATACCCTCAGTAGCAATTTGGGCTTTTGCCCAGACAGGGAAACAATTTGATGTTTGTTTTGTCCAGGACAGATTTCTCCTTGCCTTTGGCAACTGAGCTGACAAATGTGTTGTCTACAATCTCCAAAACATTTAGCCTAATCATCTACCAAAAAACTCCAAACACCTAAAAAACAACAAAAACCCCCTAACCCAAACACCCCCATGAAACAAAAACCCCACAAAAAACCAAATTAAAAAAAAAAAAAACAAAAACCGCCAAAAACAACCTTAAACCAACCAAAGGAATAAAAAGGTGAAAAATGCGAAGGAAAAGTGTTTTACAGTAATAAAGAGTATTTTCATCTCCATTTCAGGCATCTAACAAAGAATAAAGTAATTTGTATTCACTCTGCTAACATATTCAAGGACTATCGAAAATATTCTTTTAGTTTTAAAATATATCACAAAAACGGATAAAGAAAAAAATAGCAGTTAAGGAATGTTTTGTTACATACTAGTCCTATAATTTCAAGTTTAAAAGCTGATGAGAGGTAGACTGTAAAAAAAAAAAAAAAGTAAAATTATCAGGTGATGTGTCCTGTGTTAGATGGAAATAAAAGCATCTGTATGTCTTATGCAGTCAGGACCAAAAGGACCAAAACTATATGTACCTCAGATTTAATTGTTTCTCTTTAAGGCATCCACATGAGGAGGAAACACTTGTTTTTACATTGCCTATCTGTGAGCATCTGGGAAGAAACAGAACTAAAAATGCTTGCCAAAATCCTAATCACAGTGTCTAGAAACCATAAAAGTATTGTTCAGGGCACAGTCTGCAGGGAAAAGGACTTCTTTCTAAAAGGTGCTTCTATAAACTGTGAGTGGTCTCTTTCAGAACAGTTCAGCAGAAAAGACCAGAATTATAGAATAGGATATGAAAATCTAACAGGAGTTTGATATCTTAGGTCTTTGGCCCAGATGTAAACAAGACAGTGACAAGTTGAAAATGTGGGGGATTTTATGTTACAGATACGTGTTTTAATTGTTGTAATCCCAATCTCTCTATAAATTTAGTTATTTTTGACTTACCATGTTTTAGAAACATATTTTTAATTTACATTATTTTTGTCTCTTTCTTTTCTTTAATTTAAAACAAAACCCTCTGATTCTCTTTTCTGTCTACAAAATGAAAGCTTCTTCGGATGTTTTCCTTCAAGGTATAATGTTTTTTGGAATGGAAATTCACTGCATGCGACTGCTGAATTTAACTAGTAGAGCTTAGATGAGAGTGGTGTTTTGTCTGGTCTTTTAATTAATGAGAAAACTATTCAAGCTACTTCCCAATTAAGTAGAATGGTTACAAATTGCTAAACAATTTGTAGAGTTGATTCAGCAGCCCAAATACCACCATGGTTCTGAACTTACCTAAGTTCAGGAATGACCAACATGATTGGATCACATGAATTAAGAGAGTTTCAAACATTTCTGCTCCTCTCTCTCAATTTGCCATGGGATCCAATAGCACCAGCTAGCCTAAAACCAGCAATACACCCTTTTAGAACTCAGCTCTCACCCTGGATTTTTAACCTTTGTGATTTCACTCCTAATTATAAACCCAAAGCTGTTCTGATGTTGACTTGAAAAAAACTCAATGTCACCATAAATTACTCAAATGCTGTTCATTGTGCAAAAAAAAAGTCAGAGTTTTGAAAGGGTTTAAGATGCATATAGATTTTTAATGTTGTCACTGGATCTACACACTAAGAAAATTACCTAATATATCTAGTTGTGTTCCATATTGAAACCTTATCTCCACTCAGAAATGCAGAGATTTTATTTAAAAAAAATTAAAAAGGGTGTGGGGAGGCGGGGGGGAAGAAACCACATAAAATAAATGACATTGAATTTCCATACTTATGGAATGGAATTGTTATGTTTCACTAATAACTATCAGCATGAAATTTCAATGCTTATCATCCCAGCATTCAACCACTGAATGTATTTTAAATGCTTAACTTGCTCAATTCATTCTAATTATATGTATGTATATATACATGTATAGCTACTATATAAAATTCAGAACATGCTGAACCTTTTAGTTGGTGAACATTAGTAGGTGGTGAGCTGCAAATATTCAAATAATTGGAGAGTCTTACAGAGATTCTCCTAATCTTCAAAAAAACCTAGGTTTCGCATTTTTCCTGGGTATACATATTCTTTTTTTCTCAACATGAACCACCCCTTTTAAAATCCTGCATTTCCAATTGATACAGCTCCTTTCATGTGCAATACAAAAATTGCCTTCAGATATCAAGCAGCTACATAAACTATAAAACAAAAACTCAAAATACCATCAATTACATTCCTGGATGTTTCATTTAACCTGTCATGTTTAGTCAGTTTAGCTTTGAAGCTGATTTCCCATAGCTGTTAACTTTAGATTGGTTTGTGCTGCTTTCCTCTAAAGGATATGATGCAGCTGCTTTTAATAAGCTCAAGGTAATTTTGCCACTAGAACACCTCAGCCATTTCCCATGTACCTCCCCTAGAACCATCATGCACATGTTGACTATCATCCCCCTAGGTTTTTCTGATGATAATAACAAAGTTTCTCCCTCTACCATCTTTTTTCTTCTTTTGCTACTCCACCTTAGGCACCTACTATCGACATCCGCCCCCGATCAGCTACAATTCAAATGAACAATGCTACACACCTCCAAGAAAGGGATGAGGAGTATGGCTATGAGTGTCTCGATGGCAAGGACTGTGCCAGTTTTTTTTGCTGCTTTGAGGATTGCCGGACGGGCGCGTGGCGGCACGGCAGAATACACATCCGCATCGCCAAAATGGACTCCTACGCCCGCATCTTCTTCCCGACTGCCTTCTGCTTGTTCAACCTGGTCTATTGGGTATCATATCTGTACCTTTAAAAGCAGTAGGAAATCAGTGATATCAGCCTTACTCACTGAATTTCTTAGAGAGATGGTTTCCTAAATCCACTTGAAGTATTTATGATGCGCTTTATAGTGATCTGAATTCTTTAGTGCCATAATCCCGTAAATATCAGTCATCTCATCTGTCCAAAAATTGCCATCAGGTTATTGTGAATTACATGTCCATTCCACATGCCAAAATAATTTAAAAATAAAATCATGTTGATAGGTAATATACACCTATACCTGCTGGAATAGAGAGAAACAGGGCAGACAGGACAAAGGGAGCATAGCAACGTCATTTAATGGTTGATACTGTGATTCCAAATAGGAGTGAGAGAGAGGAGAATTCCCAGGTAAAGTGCTGTACAGTTTGTTAACATTGGCTATAATTATGCTATAGCTTTATTCTCTGTGGGCTTTTCTTTTTGGAAGAGTCATCTCTCACTTTGAATAGGTATTATTAAGCTAGGAAAATTAACTTCTACTCCCACCAAGATGAAAACAGACCTTTCCCTTTGCCATCCCTTTAAGAGCACATGTACAATGCTGTAAATATTTCAATACCTTATAGTACATAAAGCCTAGTGCATGCATCTTTTGGGGGCCAAAATTAATGAAAAAGGTACTATAAAGTTTTGTCTTTTACTTTGTGTCTCTGGATGTGCTATTGTAATTGAAATGTGGACAAACCTAATTTTCTTTTTTCTTGAAAAATTGCCCCTATCCCTCATGCATGGAAGATCCAAGCAGACAGCACTGTCATGCAAGATATTAGAGAAGCCTTAAGGATTCAACTAAACATATAGACAAAATTGTTTGGCCAATATAATAGCTCATAAAGTGTAATGTATGTGTCCTCTGCAGTTGTAGCCTTCATTTCCCATTGTTAATGTTGCTATATTTCAACTGAATCTCCAGTAATTATACATTGCAAGATCAGCTTCCGAATTTAATCCATGTGCTTCTATTGTTCTTTTCCCACGTGGAGCTCCACTTTTTTCCTTACTCAAGTGTTTGTGGGGGTCTTTTATTCTTTAATTCAGTACAGGAAATAGCTTTTATTCTAGATATTATTTCTACATAAGAGCTTCAAGTTAATTTTGAAACATTAGTCCTTCTATTGTATATACACACACAATTCTCTGCCCATTCATGTCCTTGATCAGCAATAGTTGTTGTCAGTGCTGCTTTCACTCAGTGAGTACCTTTACTAAAACAAACCTTTACCATGGCTAGCACAGAACTTATAGATAGCCTCAAAAACAAAAGGGAACGGAAGGTGTCTCGGCTACTAAATCACATGTATGCAGTTATGTATGTATTTAAATCCTTCAACCCACCTGGGTGAATCCTGAAAACCACTGGTTTTCAGAACCTGTATGATGCTCAATTATGCAACCTTAAGCACATGTAAATATGACTGATGGTTTGTTTTTTTTTCTTTTTTAATTTGTCAAAGATGCAAAATACCACCTCCAGAAAAGTGGGCTTGCAGCTTGAAAAGGGAGACCTATAGCTTATCACTACAGAATTATTATTAATAGAAACGGAGGAAAAGGAAAGTTTTCCAATGTCTGTATAGTTTTGGAAATAAAAATGTATAAAAAAGGAATATCTCTTGATCATCAATTGCTCCTAGTCCAATGTATTTGAAAACATTTTAATAAAGGAATTGCACACACCTGTGGACTTTTTCAATAAAACTACTGCACTCAACTCCAGTTTTTCTGTGATGAGTTTGTTAAACGCATGATTTAAGAATTAGACTGCTTGACCAGTTGGATTCGTCAGCTGCCTAAATATAAGTGATTATAATCCTTATAACCCTCTGCATGGTCTCATTTTGTAATCAAATGGTTCACATATAACCATTATGAATGGTTAAAGAATGGAGGCTAGCTCTTTTGTAGGTTATCTTACTATAATAGAAAAAATTAAAAATTACAGAATTGGAAGTACTCCAAAGAGAAATAACTTTCCTTTATCTACTTAGAGAGTATCCACTAGTTGAAAGAGTGCCAATCACCTTTCATATAGGAAGGTGTTTTAACTGGTACCAGACTGATAGACTGATCTCTAATTTTTTTTCCCCAGTAGTCAATGACTTAAGAACTATTTTTTATTTTCTTGTAATTAATAAGAGCGACTAATGCTATCTATTTAAAATTTCAATTTTCCCCTGCTCCCATATAGGTTTTACAGATAATCACTATGTAACAAACCAGCTCTTTAATGCCCTCAGTCCAAGTGCATTTTGGTTAACATATATAGATATATTTTTTGTCATGATCTGTGGAGTTAACGTGACTCTAGGCACTTTACCCTAGCTGAGCCTAGTTCACAGGTTAGCTGTGCCTAAGAAAACCTGCAGTATTGATGAATCAGATGCAATAATGAGGAACAAATGGTACAACCCCTCACTTGTGCATGTTTGGCTTCTCCTTCCAGCAAGGGAGGAGTTAACAATTGATACATCCCCACCTAAATAATGCAAACCACACAAACTGGAAAAGTGTGCCACATCTGCCCTAAGGAGGTGAACAAACTTTTCTCACTGTGTATCATGACACAAAGTACAGGAAATGAGACCCCAATCAGTGAAAAACCTCCCTCCTGCCACACTTACTGAGGGGATTTGTCATTTCCTTCTGGGGAGAACGGAGGAAATTCAAAAGGATTGTTCATGAAAAAACACGTAATTCCCAGCAAGGATCTGACATCAAAGTGCAATCTAAGTGTTCCTCCAATTGGGATTATTTACCTATTCATACAGAAAAAAACCTTTGTGTTGTAAAGCCAGATTGCCGCCACAGTACACAAAACATTGGGTGTGATAAGTGTTATTATTCAGAAGAAAACTGCCCAGAAACCAATCTTTAGAGACATGTTCATGTATACATATCAGAGAAAACAGTATGCTAATATATACATTATACATACTAACTCTCCCAGTTGCATTCCAGAGAACAAACTCACTCCTGATGCACCAGGCTTGCTGAGATGTTTTCAAGTTCATCACATATCAAGTAAATATTACTGCTCTGGGATGTGTCTTAGGGTGTTCAGAGTGGCACTGGAAGTTGTTATCAAGTATACTCTGGTGGCACAATTATTTACTTGATATTTACATTGCAGGAGGATGTAATATCCTGGCTGAGACAAGACACTGTTGTCCCAGGGATTATACCAAAACAGGACACCTTCAAAGCATTTATAAATCTTTATGCATTTATAACATTTACAAACCCATATTGTAAATAAAGAGCTGGTATTCAGGAAGATCACATGACTCAACAATAGTGCTCCCATTTTTTACGTCAGCCAACCCCAAAAAAAAAATTTTGCTAAGCAAGTATGGAATTATTCTGGCCTCCTTTAGCATAAAAAAATGCTGAAGATAGACACACACACTAAAAAGGGGAGAATAATCAAGGAGTCTTTTTTGAAATCCACTCTACATAATTTTACCATAGTTACATAAATCAATAACATGGCTGGACTGGCCTAATAACAATGTGTCAGTTTCAAAGACACAGCTGTTACAACAACTATCGGAGATCCAAATATTTAGACCTCCTGCTACCTCGGCTGCCAAAGCCCTTCAGTATTAAAACATGTAGAAAAAAGAAGAAAACATAAAATAGTTATGCAAGTGAATGTCAGAAAAGGAACAGGAAAGCTCTGTTAACTGCAGAGATTTTAGTGGATAGCATTGTTTTGTACAGAACAAAAAGAATTTGGATTATCTGCCTTACCACCAAATCTGGGTTTTGTAGGACCATGGTAGAGATGCACCGAAAAAAGGATTGGAAGACAATAAGCAAGGACTTTTCCAGGTTTGCTGAAGAGTTTATCATGCTTCAGACAAAACGCAGGACAACGTGAAAAAAAGAATTTTTAGGAGAATTTGCTAGTTAAGGAGAGAAACTGAGGCTTGGATATGACACAGAGGCTGAAGTCAATATTAAGATGACCTGCTCTATCCAGGCTGCAGCTGAGAACTGAATTAGACAAGCAAGCAAAAGAATTTGGACATTAATGGACTAAAGTGGGAGCCCAGAACAACAAGCTAAGAAGGCAAATTAGAGGCAAAATGATCTACAGAAAATAATTTTAAAGGCTAAAATAATGAAGGTTGCAGTTCTCTGAATGTTTAATAGAGTACCTTTGGGATCAAGGCTCCATCCACAAGCATGAAGGACCACATTTAGTGTAGACATAGAAGAAAGGTAATATTATTTGGAAATTATTAGCTACAAGATGAGGTCTTCATAAAAAATAAAGCCTGTTCATGGGCTTCTGCAACTGAGGGACTGAAACCTGTTGTTTTAAACTAAGGGAGCATCCAGGGCAGAACCCAGTAGTAAGAGCGAACAAAAAAAAAAAACAAAAAAAAGAAGAATCCATCTAAAGGCAACCTAATTACAGCCCAGGGGACAAAATAACATTTTAAAAAGCAAGTGTTGTCTTTCAAACAAAATTTCAGTCACTTTGTTGAGAATTTAATTAAATCCTATGAAAAGTTTCACAGATAAATCGGTTTATTATACCCATGAGAGATCTATTGCTCCATTTATAAAAATTAAGTGCCAGTGCACTTTCCCCTCCTTATTTACAAGGATTCTGTAGATGAAAAGATTTAGACTTCCTACTTACACATTACTGTGGGGCTGTTTTTAAAAGACAAGATTTACAATGAAAAACATACCTATTCAATATGTAAAAGAAAGCTCATGACCTTTAAAAGATCTTGAATAACAGACATGAACTAAAAGCTTGCTTACAAGTCAGCAAACACATTTGAATAATTCATTCCAGAATGTCAATTTACTTCACAAAAATATATTAGAAAGGTTGTCTTTCCTGTGGGAAAAATACCCAGATCACAGGATGTTAGACTGGATAGGACATTCTCATTTGGATTCACATAAAATTCATATTGATTATCAAAATGAGAAAAGGGAAAACAAGAAATAAGGAAATATTAACGTAGCTTTAATTCAGCCAGTATGAAAAGCATTAGAAATATTGATCTTTCCACCAGAAACATGTGTTTTAATATTGGTATACTGACACCTGTATCTGATGAGATTTAATCTGCTGTCACTCTCTTCAGAATTTTCAAGTATATGCTATTACCCTAACTATATATTCAGTTATATTGTCATGAGAAGCCTCATCCTAATTTACTCATAGAAAAAGAAGGAACAAAACCCAAACCCCCACAAAAACATCACCAACCTTCCCCAAAAAGGCTCCAAAAGAAGACTTTTCATTTCATTCCCAAAGTGAGACACAAGCACAGAGACATCCACACAGATAATAATACAAGATGTCTATAAAAACAGCAAATCAGGCTATGAATGCTTCAAAGTCAGACCTGCTAGAGAGGATTTAGCATAGCTGGATACTTTGCTGTATTAAAAACCAAAAACCTCCATGTTCTTTTACCATGCTTTTACTGAGATTAAAAAGAAGAGTCTCCATGTTTGTATTGACAAAACAATACATATCCATCAACTCTCAGAATTCATTTCAATGCTTGCCTTAGGACTAGAAGGGAAACACTAGACAGACAGTCTTAGCACTTTTACAATCTCACAAACCTATTCCGATTTCAAAAGCTTTTCTGCTTCTCATTCTTGTTCTCCCTCTATCACAACTCCTTAGTCTGCTGCCACAGTGAGATTTCTTATAGAAAAGAGCACTTTCCTTGTGCTCTTTCCAACTCCTTTGCCCTCAGTTACATTCACCTGAATTTGATGGCTTCCTGCTGATTTAGCAGTACTGCATGTTTCTGGCACAAATGCTTCTGTCCCAAAAATCACCACCCCACAGTTTCACCTAAATCGGTGATTCCATTTCAACCCTGAAAAAATATTGCAATTTGAAAACTGTTACTTCTAAAGAAGCTATAAGTAGAATAAAAGTTAATTGACTTGATATCAGGAAACAAAGAAGTGGTAAGACAGACCAATTCCTAACTTCAAGCTCACCTTTATTTCACTTGCTTTCAGGAGAGCTGATGTCAGCTCATGGTAAGGCCCATCCCTCTAAGCTGAATTTTCAGAGTGCCCAGACTGGCACAATCTGCAGACCCTGACAACTTCCAGGTGTGGCATAAATCTCACCAAACCACACCCTCCCCATGTAGGAGCTGTCCTGCTGCCCTCAAACACCTGAGGATGCTGCCTACAGCTGCTGAAGATTGAGTATTTCTGGAAAGCCAAGACAACGGCCATGCCAAAACACGTCATTAATTCTTTCAAACCTCAGGTAGCACTTCCTTATGTTTCTGGCTAGTTTCAGTAACTTTGCCAGTTTCTGAGGGGTCTTCAGCTGTTCTGTTGGATAATTATACACTGTCCAATCTACCCTGCATGGCCCTTGGGAGATTCTCAGCATCAAAGAATCACAGATAGAGACTACAAAGGCATGACAGAAATTAGTTTACTATATGTTATGTTTGAATGAAGATAAAATATTTGTTCTTCAACTCAAATATTTGGCATAGAGAAGAAATAAGTCTAAAAAATTAAAACACTCCACAAAATTAAAATGCAGCAAAACCCACTTCAGAAAGTCTTGTAGTTATAACAAGATTTCCCCCCATTTATTTCTACAGATTGTTTTGCAAATATACCACAGTAAAAAGAAAAAAAAAACCCCACAAACAAAATTTATGAAAACAAACTATAAATAATTTTAAGCAAATC